TGTTTTCTCACATATTTAACTAATTATCTTAAATCATTAAAAAGAGTCTAGTGGTTTCTATTTGCTGCATATGGTGAGCAAAGAAAATTATACTTCTGTGCAAAAATGAGAGAGAAAAAGAGCATGCAAGGTATAACAATAAATTATTCAATCTTATTTTTGTAAGGATGTATACCTGAAAAATTAGAGAAATGAGCTGCAAATAATAATGTAATATTTAAAGACAAATGCAAAGTGCTTCATTTAGAAAACAGAAATCAAATGCAATGATATACAAACACATAGCTTGCCAATACTATTTATGAAAAACATTCTTGGAATTGTAACGAGATACTAATTATACATCAGTAATATTCCATTTCTGGAAAAAAACATGTAGGATTTTAAGTTGTATCAATAAAAATATAGTTTTCAAGTCATGGGAAGTAATGCTTTCAACACTTTTTTTTTCATGGTCAACCCATTTCAAGCATTGTATTTAATTCTGAACCTGAGATTTTAAAGATTGGGAAAATTGGAATAAGTTTAGGAAGAGGCAATGAGGATAATTGGGGACTAGACAGAAAGCCATCTGAAGAGATACTATATGGGGTAGGAATGGGTAAGTCTCAATATTATAGAGGAAAAGACTGAGGAGGGACCATATAATACATTTAGAATACTTGAAGGAATGTCATTCAGAAAAAGGCCAAGGCTGTCTTGTCTTGTTTTTGACTTGAATTGTCTGGTCTTGTCCTACCTTACATTTTACCTTATCCTTATTATTCTAAATTATGTGGGTTCAACTGGAAACTAGACAACCATCTCTCTGAAATGTTTTGCACTGAATTCTTGCATGGAATAGCAAGATTTCATCTATGATTGAAACAGCCCCTTCCTGTATAAATGTTTTTATTGTTTTATATCACAAATTTCATTTCTATATTGAACAGTGTGTTTTCTAGGTGTCCAAGGTGTTAAAAAATAAACATCATCATAATCATGTATATATAAACATATATATGGTAATATCGTTATTGAAAAGTATACCATCTTTCATTATGATATCAATTATATAACCATCAAAATATTTACTAATCAGTTTTTTCTTTCCCATGTAGTCCATATTTCACATAAATCCACTCATCTAACCTCTGTATTTGCCAACTAACCATTTGTAGAAAAGTTCCCATGTTATAAAATATTCTGAATCTTCTTTTTGTTTGATTTTTAGAGTTAACCTACCCATTTCTTCACATTCCAATAAGTCCCCTTCCTCTATGATTCAAACTTAATCGTCACCCAACTCTATTATTGTAAATATTCAGATATAGCCTACATGGAGACAGAGCTCCAAGAATCCAAATGATGACATCTACTGATTTTACTTTAGACATCTCCACTTCTATGGAGAATCAAATTAATACTTTACAATTCTTACTTGAGGACAAACTCAGCTCTAAGGTTGCCCAGATGACTAGATATCCTTTCTGTTATAAGGTTGAAGTATCCATAAAGTATCCTTATCCATCACATTTATCTAGGGTTTTAAAATGTGAATAGAGAAGTTTTCAACCATTGAATGGCCTTCCCTAATTTTTGGAACATTTTGTGACATAAAACAGAGCAATTTACTCCCCCCCCCCCCAAGAAATCTTGCATTACTCTTCTGGAGATCCCATGCAGATTAATCTGTTTTTTTTTAAAGGTTACAGAAAGGGAAATTGCCTACAAAGGGTCATATTAAAACAAAGGATAAGAATTACCATAGGAAATAATGGGAGCTCTGTGAACAGCCTTAGGAAATAATAGGAGCTGAGAAAAGATTACTGCCTTGAATAGACTCCATTGAAATCAGTGGAAGCTCTACAGGGAATAAAGCATGGAATGGATTCTGAAAGGAAGCAGAAGGGGCCAAAAATATTGAAATGAGTTTGTGTTACCCTTGCTGCCAGATGATTTTAAATTTCCTTCCTATTAAAATATTCTACTACAAATATCAATGTATCTTCTGTTTCTCTTCTTCAGTAAATACCAAAGAAGCAGTTTGGTGTAGTGGTTAAGGCACCAGGCTAGAAACCGGAAGACCATGAGTTCTAGTCCTGCCCTAGGCACAAAACAGCTGGGTTGCTTGGGCCAGTCACTTCCTCTCAGCCCTAGGAAGGAAGCAATGGTAAACTACTTCTGAAAAATCTAGAAAGCCAGGCAAACTGCACGGACTACTCAGGTGGTCACCTAGAATTGGACATGACTGACTGGAAGAAAAAAAATTAGACACCCCCCAAAATGGGGACAAAGAACAAGGTGAGGCTGAAGTAAATGATCCCTGAACTTGGAAGGGTGGGTTCTGGAATGATCTTTCTCTGAGACTGAATGTGGAATGTGAGCAATGGTATCTGGAAAAAAGATGAAAGGTTAATAGGAAATGTAATCATTCAATAGAAGTGTAATCATTCAAGATTCTGAACTAACAACTTTCCTTCCAGTTCCACATTGCCATTCATTCTCAGAAGGTCTGTCTTCCAATCCTTAGTTCATTCCCCCATTGCCAAGGTCTATTATTCCAATGACCTGCCTTTCATATCCTATTTTGGTTTCCTAACAGCATTTTGGATGGCTCTACTGATCATTGCAGCATAACAATTCACATCATCAAGTATGTAAAAATCTATGTATAGGTCTTCTTGTTTCTGGAAGATAGGTAAGTCTGGAAGAAACTGTTCCCAGATAATTTGCGTGTGTGTGTGTGTATATATACATGCTGAATATATACATATTTTGAACACACACACACACGTGTGTGTAGATAAACAGGATATATTTATGATTTTCTAATACTAATACTTTCCATGTATTGAATCCAGAATTCTGTCAACCCCAAGACATGGATCAGAATAGGAAATCAACTCCATAATAAGAGAAAAAACCCACTATTATTAAGATTGGCTAACATAATCTTCCAAGTCTATTTACTACCATTTTACCACACTGTTATCATCTATCAGATCACCTATATTTTAAACTGTGATAGATTTTACCATTCTAAATATTATTTTCTAAATAAGCAATCTTCACCTCTTCTCTAAGAAAATCACTATAAATCATAGAAAACCACTACCTTAAATGTAAGCTAAGGTAAAGACCCCATGCATTATGAATGAATCTGGGCCAACATTCCACATTTGTGTCAGAAATCTAGCCAAATAAAAGCATTAAATTGCAGCCATGGAGAAATTATCACTCATGTTTAAGGATTCTAAAATCTCAGAAAATTAAAACAAAACAAAACAAGGTATTGGTATTTTATATATTCTATATCCATTCACCAAGAGTAACACAATCGTTTTGTATTCATATAACAACTCTAAATGTCTTCTATTGCTTTGCCACATTAATTGTTCCAAATGAATGGCTGAGTTGCCACTTATATTTAACACTTCTTGACCTCCTTTTTAAAAAAAATTAATAGCCACTCAGCAGAACAGAAGGCATCTGCAGTTTTTTTTTTAAAAAAAGCGAATTCAAGCAGGGATTTTTCTTGATTGTTTCTTCAGTTAAGAGCTTCAGCCTGTTTTACCTAGGCAATGCTTTCTGCATATCTCTGTCAAGGTGAATTTCTTTACGCTTTACGTAATCCAAGATTTTTTTTTTTTCTCCTAGATTTCAATAGGGGCTGTATTCAGCCAACACACAGATATTGCCTATTGGTAGACATGGGTGGTAATTTTGAAGCCAAAGTTCAGAAACTGCTTTTTAAACCCCCGTTGAATTTTCCTTCCCTCCCTCCTCTTTTCAACCACAGTTAACTCCCACTGTGGCGGAGGGAAAGCAACGAATTGCACCCCTATTGTGCTGACAGATCAGATGATGGAGGCTCTTGACCTTGCATGGATTCTCAATTACTTGTTAGGCTACTTTTCTCTTCTTTGTGAAAGTAGTGGTACCTGCTAGGCCATCATCTGTGCCTCACAGCCTCTTTTGGCTGCCCTTCTCAGCAACCCAATAACCTTGTCACCTTGGAAGATGCGCAAGCCGACCCTTGCTTCCACATTTTAAAGAAAATAGCTAAATAATTCAAGAAGTGCATTTAAATGCAGGGGTAAATCCAGCTTCTTTGGTCATCTGCTTTCACTTATTTTCTTAAATAGGTGTCTCAAAAGTTGCGGGTTGCTTCCTTCTCACCCCTTCCCTGTTCCACTTCCCTTTTTTAGAAATGAACAGAAGATATGTATAGCAATAGCACTTAGACTTATGAGAGTTTTTCAAACTTATGATGTAGCAGCATCCCCATGGTCACGTAATCAAAATTCAGATGCTTGGCAACTGATTCATATTTATGACAGTTGCAGTGTCTCGTGTGATCACCTTTTCCCATCTTCTAACAAGCAAAGACGAGGAGATTCACTTAACAACTGTGTTACCAATAACTGCAGTGATTCACTTAACAACTGTAACAAGGAAGGTTGCAAACTGGGGCAAAAGCCACTTAACAAATGTCTTGCTTAGCAACAGAATTTAGGGCTCAACTGTGGTCATAAGTCAAGGATTACTGGTATTGCACCTCTAGTTCTCTGAAGGTGTTAGCTAAATCACACTGCCCTGGATATTTGTGAACAATTTCTTTTGCAATGGAGAAATAATATACTGTATTTCCCTCAAGAATTCTTCAGGATAAACAAATTCAAAAATTGATATGTCACTTAACCATCATTACCATTGATACAGGGATGAAATTCAGCTGGTTCTGACAGGTTCTGGAGAACCGGTAGTGGAAATATTTGAGAACCGGCAAATACCACCTCTGGCTGGCCCCAGAGTGGGGTGGGAATGGGGATTTTGCAGTATCCTTCCCCTGCCATGCCCACCAAACCACGCCCACAGAACCATTAGTAAAAAAAAACAAATTTCACAATTGTATTGATAGTATTTTATAATTCTTTCTGCAGAGGGTTGGACTAGAAGACCTACAAGATCCCTTCCAACTCTGTTATTCAAATTAATTAGCTGGCTAAAAAAAATACTTTGAATTTCTTACACATCAGCATTAAGTTTATTTTCTTATTTAGCATATGGAAAAAAACATTTAAGACCTCGTTGTTTTGCACTGATAGTAAAATGGGTTATTTCACAGTAACACTACATAGGATACCTTGCATACCTAATTATTATTTAAATGTTATTCCCTAACTACTCCTTATTTGTGACTGTCATGAAATGCTCCAGGTATGGCATAGTCAGCAACTCTTACATAATATAAAAAGGGGGTGGAGATTATTTTATTATTTTTATTTCTTTTATATTGTCTTTTTATTTCCTGTAAGCTGCCTTGAGTCATCTGTGAGCAAGTAGAACGTCAAGTTGGTATGGCATTTTGCTCTGATTGTAGCTAATATCTCCTGCTTCTTTATAAAAATAACTATTTAAATGGCAGACATTTTTTTCCCTCAGTTAAATATTGTCTTGCTTCTCACCAAAAGGTCTAAGCTACTGCATACAAATCTTTTCTTAAGCTATGAAATAGAATTAAACAGAATTATCCTTTTGAGCTCCACTAAAGTATTGCAAAGCTTAGAGCATCTGCATTCACAGGAATGGGTCACACTATACTTTTCATCCTTGAGTGTGGACGTTGCAATGCTTCTCAGGGTTTTTAGCAGCATCCTCCACATTCTTCAATGTGAGATACAAAAGATAAACATAGCAGAAATATATTTTGCAGGATACTCAACACAATTTAAACAGGAACTAATGAAGGAAGAAAGGAAGGAAGGGACAGGCACATGCTTAGTAGATTTTCTAAGGGAATTTTATTATATGGGATATATTCTATGGATTTTCCAAAGACTCTGAAATTATATGAGAAGGATCAGGAAAACAAATGACATGGAGATGATGATGCATTAGATTTAAAGAAGACAGGATGCCTGCATGAATTGAAAGTTATGATTAACTATCAATCAATACCTATCAGTGTGTCCTACCTCACAGGATTGTGGAAGAAAATGAGATATCTGTTACCATGAACTTTTAGAAGAAAGGTAGAATACAAATAAACAAAACTTTCTGAAATCTGCTTAGTGATCAGTCTGAGGTTAGAAATTTGCTTTCCCCCAAATACTACTAGATAACACTTTGGCACTTACATAGCTGCTTACATATTATCACCCTTTAATATTAAAGTGGTTACCATAACTTATTCATATTCTCTTATTTTCCTGTTCAAAATATTTTACAAAGTAAAGATAAAATAATATTTTGTTTCCAAAATATATGTTGAGAAAGGAAAAACCATATTTTAACCTCATGACTTGGTAGACAACACTTGGATGTTAATATGGATAAAAGAGACATTTACAACCTTTGATGTGAGGTTTGCATTTTTTAAAATTTAATCCATGGAAAAGCTGGAACCAGATAACATTGCCAACTTCAAAAAAAATATCCATAATTTATTATCTTAAATTTTAACCATGTTTTTCCTGTGCCTGGGGTGTGTTTATGATATTACTAATGAAGTTTCTTCTGGAAGTATACGATGGATGCTTTAATCTGAACTTTGGGAGAATATTACCATTTGGTCCATATATTTCCTCTCCTTTTTTACCCAAGATAGTCCTAAAAACCTTATTCTGTGACAGAACTTTATTATAGAATTCTACCCCACCTCTAGCAAAGCTGGGAGAAATGGAGGCTGCCTTTCTGTCTGCCCTATAATCGAATGCCTGGCTTACAGTATCATATAATAGACAATAGCCCATCAACCCAAGTGCCACAACTGCCATGTTATAAATGCTTCGGAGTACTACTGGAGCATAATATAAACCCAAGACCTGCTTTACAGTTACTCCAGAAATATAGGACCCAGCCAGACAAATGGGGGCAACAGTTGCACATATTAAAGGCCTATTTTGTTGCAAGTCAATGATCTCTCTTGCAATGGCAAACTTCTGAGCCTCTGGAGAAAGTGTTAAGGCATCCTTCAAAGCCAGTCCCTCTGGGCTTGTCCAGTTCACTTTCTTGCCTCTAAGATGAACGTCTATCTTGGCAATCTGCTGTTCACCACTGGCTCTATTACTGAAATGATATGGGATGCCCACCACACAACCTTTGGCTCTCCATGGTAGACCAGCGCTTACGGTGTGCAGAGTGCAAGTCTTAATGGCATCGTAACGATCTGCTGACTTCACTTTGACATCACAGAGGATGTTATAGAACAGGTTCTGCATATCTTCCGAAAGCCTCAATGGCTTTCCATGGTCCCAGGCCTGATATATTGATTTGAACAACTCCTTTGAGAACACGTGGAAAGTCAAATTGGCACCAAACAATCCAGCACAAGAAATGGACAAAAAAGCAGTCCTGTGTTTCTCCATCATAGCGACTGCCTTCCATAGAGAATGAAAGGCCATGTTCAACTTCCAGCTAGATTCTGTTCAAAGAATATATCTGCACAAAAAGAAAAATCTCAATGAGTAGGTGGAATTACTTTAAACTGATAGAGAAATAGCACTATATTCAATAACCAGAATGCAACTGCAGGAATACAGTAATGAAGCACACTTTTTCATGCTGTTACAGCAGTCACATCTTTTTCAACAGCAAAGAGGACGTGCGCATATGTGCATAAGTAAACATCCTAAAGCAGCTTTTGCAATAGTTGGAAAATAACATGGCTAGAAAAAGGCATGGTCTAAAAGACATGCTTTATAATTCCCTGGAAGCACAGTCTTAATCTCCTATTTATACTCTTGTACAAGTAGTCTTCGACTTATGACCACAGTTGGGTCCAGAATTTCTGATGCTAAGCCAGGTGGTTATTAAGTGAATTCTGTTCAACTTTACAATCTTTTTAGCCACAATTCTTATGCAAATCACTGAATTCATAAGTGAATCACTTGGTCGATAAACAAATCCAATTTCCCCCATTGGTTTTGCTTGTTGCCAGAAGCCAATTAAGGAGTTCACAAATGGTGATCACATAACCCCAGGATGCTGCAACCATCGAATACACACTGGTTGCCAAGCACCCAAATTCTGATCACAGGACCATAGGGATGCTGCAGCTGTCAGTCATAAGTCAATTTTTTCAATGTTGTATCTTCAAACAGTTGCTAAATGAATTATTGTAAATCAATGACTACTTGTATAATGATGATTCAAGAAAGCTGTACAAATCAGTCAGGAATGGGTAATCTTTTGCTTGCATTCACAACTGCAGTACAGATGCTCTTGTATATGCAATTCACAATGAGGGGCAAATTCCCATTCCATGATGACTAGCAAGCACTGTCTGTGTGAAGACAAATGCTGATTGACTGCAATGAAAACAGAGAGTTGAAACACTTTGTGTAGAAGTCCTTCTCTAGGAACAGCAATGGAAGGTAGGCCAATTGCCCAAAACATGTCTACTTTGTGCTTATAAAAACAAATTGCAATCACAGAAAGCCAGGAGAAGTGCTTCCTTTTCTAGATGCAGTCTACTCTATACTGTATAAATGTGATTATTATTAAAGGAATTTAATATAACTAGAATCAGCAGAATAGTGAGAAAAAGAAATTGGATTCAGATTCCACTTGCCAGTCACATGATTGTGTTCATAAGAACAATTCCATGAATTGTCAAGTCTCTTTCCCTCTTCTCCCACCTCTCTCTCTCTCTCTCACACTCATATACAAATAATTACAATATATTACTCTCAATTTTGCCCTTTTGCTTATCTGTCAGACATTATTCTATTGTATTTGTTGAGTTCTTTCTGCCTTACCATTCTTTTCAGCCCTAAGATTTTTGATAGTTTTTAAAATTAAATTGATCATTATGATGAGAGAAAGCAATATCAATAGGACAACTGCACAGGAGATCAGTCTTTCTGAATAGCAATGTAGTAAAGTAAATCAATCAATCACAGGATCAATTAGTCAAAGAAGAAGGTCAGAAGAAATACAACTCATTGGGGCATTGTCACCACAGCAAGGAAGCTACTTCACTTTCTGTTGAAACAGAAAGCAACAATACATTTAAAATAGCACAACAGCCTTAAAGCACTTAATCTATGTTTTTTACAATGCTGCAACGGTATATAAAGTATATCGGCCTCAACACTTTTTTTTTTTGGCTAGAACAACAATAACATCACAACTCTGGAATATTCCAGATCACACAACTAGTCTGTAGACTGATAGCACAATTCAAAGATAACCTTATTTAAATAAAGATTGCATTGAACTGTCGTAGACTTTATTCACATATCACCTTCTTTGGCTTTGCAAGTCACTATACAACTCTTCACTGGAACAAGTGAGGAGCATAAATTATAAAGATTATTATCCTCAACTCAGTATAGAGCACTGTACCACTATTAAGAATCTTCAGAGCTATAGGGTTTCCTGCCTAAGCAGGGGGTTGGACTAGATGACCCCCAAGGTCCCTTCCAACTCTTGTTATTCTATTCATTACACACCAAGCTCTTCCTTCTCTAAATATCCGACTTTATATGCAAAACACAGAAAAAGCCTTGCAGTTTGGGCTTATCCCGTCGCCTCCCAATTGGGTTATTTATCGTTTAACCTGAAAACCAAGGCGCCTACGCATAATATCTAGGTAGACACGGAAAATACTAGGTTTCTACACCAGCATGCAACTGAATAGAGTGGAACTGCTCAGAATCCCGCATTTACCGTACTCCTTTCAATATATTGGTGCCAGATACCACAGAGGAAGGAGGAAAAAAAACACACGTGGAAACCATAAAGCAGGTGACCTGTCGCAAAAGCCGAGTGCCGCGACGCGGCGAGAGAACGACGTCATCGGAGGTCGGAGTTGCTATGGCGACGAGGAGGTCTTCCGATTCTGCGCAGGGTCGCTTCTTGCCCCGAGGCTTAGTTCAGGGGGTGGGGAAACGATGGCCCTTTTAATGACTTCTTGTGGACTTCAATTCCCAGAATTCCTGAGCCAGCAGGAATTCTGGGAGTTGAAGTCCACAAATCATAAAGGAGCCATTGTTTCCCACCTCTAGCGGGACCTTAGCGTTGCTTTTTTTTGTTTGTTTTCCTTTCCCCACTCAGAGCTCGTTTTCTGGCTCCTAAGGCCGACCCTTCGGAAACTTAAGTGAGGAGTAAGACAGATATAAGATTAGTGGTGTCCTTGGTGCTCTCTGAGCTTGCTTGTTTTCTTGCAGACGTTTCGTTACCTTAACTAGGTAACATTCGTGCTGGTAAGGAGTGCTGTTCGCTGATAGCACTGATGATGTTGCCTAGTTAAGGTAACGAAATGTCTGCAAGAAAATAAGCAAGCTCAGAGAGCACCAAGGACCCCTCATTTCAACCCTGAGCTACAAATATTCTCCTTTATTGGTACTAGTGGTGTCTTCTGGAGAGAGAAAGAATGAGAATGGGAGGAAGAAAGAAAAGTGTGTCTGCGAATATCATTTAGGACCACTATCATTTAGAAACCACCTCTTAACTGATCCCTGAAAATCCTGCGCTTTGAATCTGTTTCTTATCGGGGATTATTTTTGCACCATCTGTAATCATCTGCAAATATATGTCATATTTAATACAACTTGTGCCTTAGAGGCGAGGGAAGCCAAAAGCAGCTGCTAAGTTGGCAGGGAATGTGGCTTGAGGAAAAAATGGCCTGCCCTTGCCTGCTGTGGACAGCTGTGGAAATGGCCAGATGTCTTGTAAAGGGCTCTTTAGCACAGAGAGGCTGGAACCAGACTCCCTCCCCTGGAGTCTGGTTCTCAGAGGAAGTTCTTGAGGGGAACTTCTCTCAACGTCTTAAGAGAAGTTCCCCTCCAGAGCTCTTGGCAGGCTCATCTGTTTTGTATCCTCACTAGCTATGAGATTAGTGTTTTAAATCAGGAATGGGAGTGATCCAGGGTCTTTGCTGTATTACAGCTAGATGCATGTCATCACACTCTGGAATGTGCATGTGTATGTATGTTTCTGCATGCTGCTCATCTGGGATACAGCTGGGGATTCAGTTAGCCACACTTGCTGTTAAAACACAATATTCAAAAGCAAACAGTGGAATCCACATCTTCTCTAAGTTTTAATCAAGGCAAAAGCAGCAAGATAAACATCCTTTCTCCTCACTTCCTATCCCTTTTAAAGTATTATTTTCAAACATATATCAATATGCTTTAGCATATACACATAACTACGCTGCCTGAGTTTATTCACTTTGGCTGAGCCAAAAAATTGCTTTGCTTTAATGTGGTGGTTATATAAACTAAGCTTTTGTGGTTTGTAAACTATGTTTTTTCCACACCCACTTCATAATTAACACTAATCCCAGAGTACTATAGAAATATACATGGAACTGATCTGTATATCTAACCAATAGCACATTGTTCACAGCAATCCAAGAGTCAAGTGGTGCTCCCTTCTGATGGTTGATACTTTGCTTTGTTTTTAAACGTCTATTGGCATTGTTGTATAGTATTGTAATGTGAAAGAGGCTCATTTACCAAACAGAAAAATGAAGATGATTTAATTTACAAATCAATCCATGCATTCATTTTTATATTAGATCAAAGCAAATTGGTTACTGTTTTTGAACCTGTTGCATTGTGGTTTGAGACTTAAACGGCAGGGGTTTACATTGGTTTCTCCCACTTCCGAAGTCTCTGCTATCATATGCAGCACTTTAACACTTGACAAGGGTCATCTCCTTCCCATTCCTGATCTGATCATTGCTTTTTGAAGCCAACCATTGGGGATTATTAAAAATGGCAGCCAGTCACCACTCCATCCTCTTTTCTTATTCTACCTTTTCCACAATTGGCTTTCAAAAGGGAGGTGGGGGACGATGATGAAGATTAAAACTTCCAATGGCTACTGGGCAGATGGAGCAGTAATGCCATCCCAGAAGAAAAGGTGGAAATGGGAGGAGGAGGAAAAGCCTAGAATAAATAAGAAGGTAGGATGAGTTCCTGCCAAGGAGAAACTGGCTCCGCCATAGCTCCAGAGGAAATTCTGCAAAACCACCTTCTCAGTGTTTCTTCTGAGACTGAAAGCCAGTTAATAATTAATCAGCTCAGCATGCCAAACCCCATGGAAGTCACATCATTGGGACTGGTGCCACCTATAGAAAGAGATTTGAATGGAGAAGAATGGAAAGATTGGTAGCTTAGATGAATTATTTTATTGCTTAACAAAATACAGCATTTAAAACTATGGTAAATTCTATTGTAATATAAGTATATGATGGTTTGTTTGCCTAAGTTTTGGTACCTTAACTGTTTGGAGAAACATATTTACAACATTTTTTTTAAAACTTTTCCTCAATGAAGTAAGTGAAACTAAAATCTAAGACTGCCCCACCCCCCAGGTGACTGGAGAAAAAACAGACCTGGATTTTAATTTCAGATATTTCCTCACCCTTTATTTCCCTCCACCTGTAGCCCCAAGTTCTGAACATATAGAGGTATCATATAGCCATTACATTTACAAATAAATAGAACTAATTTCTTGCAAAAGTTGTCTCAGCTAGCTAATAGCAACGACAATTTCTGATTGCAAAAGGCTTTACGATTTAGGAATAAGTATAAGGTGACCAGATTTTCAGATTGGTAAAGAGGGACACCTTTGACCAGGCCGGGGGGTGGGGGGTGGGGTGTGTGGGTTGATTAAAAATTTTATACGGAGCAACAAAAATGTTCATATAACGCAAAAATAGTATTGTAATTTTTTTTATTTCAACAT